CCATCCAAGACCTCTTACCCCCGGAATACGTCAGTGGTACCTGCGCAAGTTCGTACCCGACTTCGCACCCTCGTCAAACCGATCCAAGAACCCAGCACTGCAGAGGAATTCGTCTCGTCCGACGAACACCAACGGAAGTTCGAGGGCATCAAGCATCTACTCACTACGTCCCAACCGTCACTGTGTCTGCCGCCCTCCGGACTGCCTCTGGAACACGGAGAGGTCGCGCATCGAGCGATGTTCCTCCAACAACTCCAGTTCAAGGCACCCTACCGTGCCGGCCGGGACCAGCAGCACGTACACATCTTTACCTGGGACATCCAGTTCAGCAAACTGGACGAGGACATCGACGCTCGATGTGTGCTCGCCTCGCTGACACCGACGTAGAGCTGACGTCCGCAACTTCGCCGAACGACGTCCGCAACTTCGACATCAGCCCTGCATCAGAAGGAGGCATCGTCAGGGGCAGCCTACTCTCGACGGGCATGTTCGAAATTGTCGCCTGCGATACCGTCGGTCTGATCTGGCTCCAGAAGCGATAATACTATCTGCATCGACCACATCAGCAAGTTCGCGGTTTCCCCTCAACGCCGTCCGAGCCGTAGACCTCCTTCACGTCGACGACCAACTGGAGTTACCCCGAGATCGTCGCCTCCGCCATACCGTTCAACCCGGCACCGGGGCGTCGCCATACAGGATCGTCACCGGGGCTGACCTAGTACTTCCACGACTCGGGGCGAGAAGGACAGACCCGGTCAGGCTGTCCAGAGGAACGAATATACCAAGCGTGTTTATAACAAATGTCTCGTACTCCAAGACGTAGATCCATGCGCATTAGTCGGCGGTCGCGGCTGCGTTGGACGGTCGCGATTGCGTTGGACGGTCGCGGCTGCGTTGGACGGTCGCGATTGCGTTGGACGGTCGCGGCTGCGTTGGACGGTCGCGATTGCGTTGGACGGTCGCGGTTGCGTTGGACGGTCGCGGTTGCGTTGGACGGTCGCGGTTGCGTTGGACGGTCGCGGTTGCGTTGGAC